TATAATCTTTCAATGTAGGGTAATAACTGCTTGATCCAAGGATAAAATTGTGCTTCAAACTGGGTTTTTTTGCCTTCTTTTGGATCAACAGCAAAAAACAAATGTGAGGTAGGCTGAACTTGATGGACGCAAGTCTCTTTTCAGCTATGTAACTATGTAACTATGTAACTATGCTTGTAAAGCCACGACAGCTATAACATGCAAAATAAGAACAATAATCTTTATCTGCATGGCCTATAGAGTGACAGCACAATTTTTAAATTAAGAGTAAGGATCAGGCTATAACATCAGATTTTTGAAGTATAAAGAAAGTTAATGCTGTACTGAGGTATGAAGTGCATTTGCATATCGCAGATATTACTTCCTAAGAGGTATGGCCAATATGCCAGTAGTGTGGAAATAAAAGGAAACAGCATTTATAGGCCATGTGGCAACACGTGAGACGGTATAGTAGGTAGGATCTGACACATAGCAGAGACTACAGTAAGCTACAAAGTTGTACAGAGTATAATGAGAGACCTACTGCAGTGTAAAAACAGCTCCCTGACGATAAGCAAATTATGAAGTGGCAATATAGGAGCTCAGGAGTAGGTGATAAAAGTGTAGCCAGCATATCCAAGTTATTCCCAGATTTGGCTGATGATGACCGCAGTGTTCGAGATAATGCTGTGAGTGTGAGGGGAAACTGAAACAGTGCAGTATTATTTTTCAGTTAAACTGAAGGTAAAACCCAACACAAACAAGTATAAAGAGAAACATGAAAAACATAATGGAAGATGGCTCAGGTGGTCTTTATCCCCGATGCATTACTAAAGGTGGGAACAAACGGGACAATGTTGGCTGGGTCCCAGGCTGTGGTGGTAGTTGAGGTAATGTGATAGAATTTATCTTGATTCCAAGGCTGAAGCTTATAGGATATCATTATAAATTATTGGAATCAAGATACATTCTATCACAGTAATGAGACCCATAGCTGCCAAGACAGTGATAATCTCAGCAATGTCCATCTTTATAGTCAGTGCCGTGATAGTCTCTAATGATATTTTACCCCATTGGCTGTTAGTGCCGATGTTAGCAGTTGAAGAGACTTTTGCCATTGCAGGTTAGTGCGAGATAGATTAGAAAAGAATGATAGGACCATGTCTTCAAATCAGTAGGGATTATTCCCCTTGAAAGCATGTATAAAGGCAGTCTTGTCCAGCCAGCTTTAAAACTTCGGAAAGCAGCAAGTATGTGACTAATCAGGCCGAGAACTGGTTCTGCCCCCCTCTCAGTTAAAGTTTTGACCATTGGTGTGGAATTGTTTATGGCCTTAGCCGTGGCCGGTCAAAACTTTAACCAAGTGGCATAGAAATAGCACTAGACCCCTCTAGCCTTGATTGGCATACATTCTGAAGGTGCCGGATGGGTTACGGTTAGAGCTCTCTCGCAGGGAGAGCCATAGTTTCAGGGAAGCTATTATATGTGATTATTATGTTAAGGTAATGATGGTTTTTCACAGATATGGTCCAATCAAATGCTTACAAACAAATCAGATGTATTTGATTGGACCACTGATAAAAAGATAGTGACAGGGCCTAACGTCACATGGGGCATTGAATATAATTTTTAAGCTAAGTTTTCATTGTTCTTTTTGTTTTTTTAAGTATTAAGAGGGGGACCTATTAAATAGTGCCCAATAGGGCACTATAAAGGGAAAAAATAAGTTTGTGTGAAAAGGTTGAACTAACCCTTTAATGCAATCGTCATTTAGGTACAATACTGTTTATTGTCCACTAGATGGCAATCACTTACAGCTATAATTAACTTATGTGCAATTATTTTTTTCCCCAATAGAAATTCACACTAATTTGGCCAAATTCATCATTTTCAGTTGAAATCAAGTTCCGAATCAAAAAATAATAAGCAATGATAGATTGTAAACTTCGAGCATCCTTCTTAACCTCTTGTCGCTGTTATATACTGTATATAAATTGCGTCTTGTAAAATATCCCAGTTTTATAATTGTAAAATGATGCACAAAATGTTGGAGCTATAAGAATGATAATAAGTGCACTTTTCTGAAACTACTATAGGTGGGGAAGGTGTGCCCAAAATTGCAATCTAGTAAAGTTTATATTGATTGTAAATGTTTGACATACAGGAAACAGAGAAGTGAAAGTATTATTAGAATATTAAAACTTAAAATATTTGTCCTAAAATATATTTAAACAATACATATGTACAAAAATACAACAACAAAAAAGAATGGTATTCTTATTAATTGTTCTACCAGACTTATGTATTTTGATCAAACTTGAAGAAGTCAATCTTGAAACAGTTAATGTGAATTTACAGGAGGAAATAGTTAAAATAAAAGATTTGGGGTAGGGTGGGGCCCAACTGTCACGGCGACTGGACGTGTATGCAGTGAGCTCCTCAAGAAACACTGACAAGTGCTTGTTTACCAGCTATACCTACAAAGCCCGCAATATACATTCTGCTACACGAACTGATTGACTGGTCTGGGAACGATTCCCACGGTATGCAGTGCCCCTCAAGGCGCCAACTACTTGTGTGGCCTAGCAGGCCCATTGGGGATCTGTGCATGTGCCGCAGATGCCACCAATTACTGCAGGAGGTACCTTCAAAATGGCGGATGCCTCGAGTACCCTAAACTCCTAGGGAGAATCCTCCACTATACTTCCCCACCTGGACGCGATCTTTGAGGCTTTCTGAAGGAAGCTGCAGAACAAGCTAACCTTACATGTTCCTGGGGTCATAGAGACTCCCTCTTGACCATCCTGACACACCCCGTATCGCCCAGCTCACTACATTGCAAGACCAGTGCACCAGAGGTGGAAGAGACCGCGTTGGTATGCCTGGAGAAGAAAGGCGAGACGGCGGGCGGGGTCCCTGAATATCTCAAAGGCAAGCAAGAGTGATGTGCGGAGAGATGGAGTGCAAGAGCAAGAGCAGTCACAGTAAATACAGCTGATACCTTGGGCTCTGTGCCTGACGAACAACTCTGTGTGGGACTGTTCTCTACCTATAATGGGGTAGGCTGACCGCCATTATGAGCCTCCTGCTTCTTGTCTCACTACAGTCTGTTGACTCTTTAGCATGTAGCATGATCTACTCGTTTCAGCTTACATCCTCTTTTATTTTAATTTAAAATACCTCACACTAGCAAGTTTTCTGATTACAAAGCAGTGTGTCTTTACATTCCACAAAATATGTGAACACAACCCCAGTGAGAAAAGTATACAATTTAAAGCCGACCGAGACTTCCCTGTATTAGGCGAAATATCCAGGTAAATCCCCAAAGACTTCCTATTGTCTTCAGCAAACACATACAAATAGAATAGGGGATAGTCTGCTAAATACAAATAAGATAAAAAAACATAGTGTTTAACTCAGGGTGTTCAGGGATTAATTTATGATCAGAGTTCTGAAAACAATCAGATCATTAATCTCTCTTGTTTTCCATTGCAAAGATACAAATAGGATCAAAGATACCAATTTATTTGGACACAAACTGGCACTGAGTGCTGTACACACAAAAAAATAAATAAAAATGGCCAAAGAATTAGGCATAGCACAAAAAGATGTAGGTAATTTTAAAATGATGCTGTCATTACTAGAAGAGACTAGAATCACTACCACCTATAGAAAATCCTCATGACAATTTGATGTCCCCTCCCCGAGAGACCCATAATTTGGGGTAAAAATTCCATTACTGAAAAAGCTAGTAAGTTCTTAAAAAATATATCGCACCCTTTTGTCACGGATCTTGATTCTTATTTACAGGACACAAAAGAAGCTCTTTTAACTTTTGAAAATCTGTCATACACTTTGTTGGCAATTTTGTATGTGGTATCCCTTTACAATAACATTCCTCACAATATAGGACTGAAGGACACCTCTTATTTTTTGGAAAA